CAAACTTATGATTATTTTTCACAATTAAGTTATATTAATATTTAAAAACTTGTGAACATTAGTTGGAAACAACGGAAACCGGGAAACAGGGGAAAGGCTTGCGAGTGATGTCAGACTTTTGGCGGACCCTCGGCATAGACGCGAATACGACTCCCAATGAGACAACTTTGGGTGAAATAGGGATTGAGTCGATGTTTGCGGCGGAACTGCAACAGGAATTGCAGAGAGAATGCAAACGACAGATATCTTTAACACAGTTTAGACGCATTACGATTGGGATACTCAAGGAGTATGAGAAGGGGAACGGTATCCACATCGATTACATCCTCGATAACTAATTGACAATTTAATTCTGATCAATATATTTTTATCCTATAATACTTATTAATCATTTATTTGTTAGATTGAAATTATATAGATTGTATTACTTGTTAATTTTATAAAATAAATTACCCAAATAACTTTTGTCTAATTTCCCTAATAAAATTATATACAATAAAAACATAATTATTATTCAATTCTGTATTCCTATGGTTATTAATTTAAAAATAAATAATATCAACATCTTTACTGTATAAAGTCTAAGATTTTAATATTTTTCCATAAGCAAAAAAAATCTTGCATAAACCTATATTTCTCAGTATTCATCCGTTTAAATTAAGTATATACAGTATAACTGTTATACTATAACACATAACATTAATAACTGCTAAATTAATAAAATTTAATTTTATCAAATAGTAAAGTTATTAATTAATTAAATAGTACTTATACTCCTGTTAAGGGTTATTGCAGTTATTGTTTTATTTCAAAATATTTTCCTAGAATACTTAGAAAAATAACATTATTAGCATTTAAGTTTAAAATAAATTATTACAAATGATATAATACCAAAAAACTGTAAACTCATTAATATTTAATTTTAAAAGTAAATTAAGACGTCTTAATAATATTATTGATGAATTTATAGCTTTATGAAATAAGTTATATGAAATTTAAATGATTTTCCAATGAATTTACGCAAATATTAAGAATTTGTTTATTAAAACCTATTTTTATATAAATTTTACATTTAATAATACTTATTGATATTCATGTAATTAATTTCAATAATTAAATCTATAACATTGTGCGTCAGTATTAATTTATTGAAATGTAATATTTTATCATTTGTAACAAAAGCTTTTCCTTAAAAAATATTTTGATAAAATGCTAATTTTTAGTTAGATTAGTATTATTCTCTATTAAACTTATAGTTATGATTGCTACATTAATTTATTTATTTTAATTTATAAATAGTATTTGCAAAACAATTATATTATGTACAATTTTAATAATTCTCAATAACCTATTATATATGCAAAAATTAATTAAAATAATATTTTTAAGCAATTTATAATGTATATAAAGTGACAAATTTGTGGTCAAATATCCTTGCTTATGCTTTTAGACAGTTAAAGGCTTAAAGTATAAAGATATTGATTTTAATTTTTCTTCAAACCTTTAGAGATAACTAACACTTAGTTCACTCAATAATGTCTTTGAACGATGTGGTGATCAGTGGTATGTCCGGTCGGTTCCCACTGTCGGACACCACCGACGAGTTGGCAAAGAATCTGTTCGATGGCACGGATATGATCACCGGTGATGACACGCGTTGGCCAATAGGTATATATAGTACTATGAAATATAATCAGGGCCTAGTAGTTTTAAGTAAACTAAATGATCTCAGTTTAAATGTGACAAATTGTATTATTTAAACATTAATGACAATACTTTGCAAGACTTGTACGACATATGTCCGCGAATGGGAAAGATTATGGACTGCAATCGGTTTGATTCATCATTTTTCGGACTAATGGAGCAAATGGTGGATGAGATCGACCCCCAGGCCCGCATGCTTCTGGAGATCACGTATGAGGCTATAGCCGATGCAGGTATAGGTCCTCTCAAACAAAATTTGTAAACTACAAATAAAATAAATGATCGCTATATACAATATGCAATTCATAAAACAGGTATAAATCCGCAGGAGTTGCGGGGCAGTCAGACGGGTGTGTACGTAGGCGTCTCCATATACGCCATGACCGATGGCTACCCGGAGGACATACAGCCGGACTTGCGGTCGAGTCTGCAGAGCGTTATGTTGCAGACGACGGCAAACACGAAGACTTTCTACGCCAGTCGTATATCCTATGTCTACGACTTCAAGGGGCCGTCGATGATAGTGGACACCGCCTGCTCGGCCAGTCTGTCCGCCATGACTCTGGCCATGAATGATATGCGACTCGGTATGTGACCCTGGTTATTATTCAAAGTTGCTATATTAATGGTGATTTGTTAGGTCATATCGACAACGCCGTCGTGTGCGGCACTCACATGCTATTCGAGCCATTCATATACCAGTTTCAACAGGAGTTGAATATATGTTCGCCGAGAGGTGTGGCCGCTGTGTTGGACAAGGAGGCGGACGGCTTCGTGAAGGGGGAGTCGGTGTGCTGTGTGTTCCTACAGCGCCGTCACAACGCCCGACGCATATACGCGACCGTACTGTCCAGTCGTATGAATATCGACGGCAATAAGACGGTCGGCATGTATTTCCCATCGGCTGAGGCACAGGAGGAGCTCATGGTTAAGTCGTATAGCGAGATCAATGTTGATCCACTGGCGCTCACCTACTTTGAAGCCCACTGTACCGGCACTAAGGTATACCTAAAATCTAATATTTATATTGTTTATGAATTATACGGTTTATAAGATTGATAAATGTTTAACATTTAATAAATAAAGGTTTACTTTAAATCTACATTACTCTAACAAATATTTAAAAATATAATATCAAAAATATATGGACTAGATACTATATACATTATTAAAGTATTATATTAATTAATAAATATGGACTCAAAGGCCGGGGATCCTCAGGAGTTGAAGGCTATATACAACGCGTATTGCAAACGGCCGGGTCGTACGGAGCCGTTGCCATTGGGTGTACTGAAGAGCAATATGGGGCACTCGGAGGCCGGCTCCGGGATTGCATCGGTTATCAAAGTGTTGATTGCCTACGAAAATGAATGCATTCCTCCTAACCTTAACCTCAACCAAATTAAAGACGAGTGTGCCGTCTATTGTCCCCCATTAATGCCTATTGTCAAACCGTATCCATATAAGCCAGGTAAGTTAACTCACTGATATTATATTTAGAAAATTAAATTTATTTATTATCAATAGGAATGGCAGGTATTAACAACTTTGGTATCGGCGGTGCAAACGCACACGTATTGGTTGAACCCAACTATAAGTTAGAAACCAATGATAGCCTAAGAATCGCTGAAATGATTCCCAGAATTGTGAACATTTGCGGCAGAAATGAACATTCGGTTCAATATATGTTTG